ATCGGCTGATCAAGCTTTTGGACAAAGCAAGGCATGAAGACAAAACCCGATTAAAAATTAATTAATTCAAGTGGCTAATATCAAGTTTTAGTTGAGATTAGAAAAATATAATTTTAAATCCCTACACTTTGCTTTTATTTTATCATAAGCCCCTATACTTTTTTTTTATGCTCTAGGTTTCTACACTTTTATTTTTCAGCGTTTTAAATCCCTACAAAGTTCTTACACTTTAATTATTTAAGAACTCAAAACATTGAAAAACAAAAAGTATAAGGACTTAAAACATCGAAAAAAAATGCGTAGATCTATAACAAAACGCGAGTAAAGTGTAGAGACTTAAAATTATATTTTCTCTTGGATTTTATCAAGTTTAGGAGCTCACATCACAAACATAAGAAAATTTTAAAAAGTTCCTCGATTCACAATTTACTACTAAGGCTTGTATAGCCATATTACTCGTTCTTGGGTCGATGAATCTACAAACTTGTCAGACGCACAAACAGATATCGACATAGAAATACTTCATCAGCTCAAAAGACTCACCCCTTTATTCATTGCCTTAAATTACATGACCACTGCAAAATGCACATTAACATGTTATCACAGTTTGACTCAAATGGAGTTCAAATTAGCCACCTAAAGGCTAAATACAGTTGAGAAAATATTCTACGAGTGTTCTTTTTCCGTGATAAAAATAACAATTTCAACTAAAAGGTATAGAGACATGCTTGTAGTTCAATGGAAGGCCATGTACACAAAGCTAAAATTCAGCAGCTTTCAGCATATGAGGGATTTTTTTTGATGGAGTCGACGAAGCCACTGCTAAGAAGTCTCTCCACATATTTGCCAAGAATATCGACCTCCAAATTTACCTTCTGTCCAATTTTCTTCAAAGGAATCACCACGTTCTGCTGGGTGTAAGCGACCAGCATGAAATTGAAACACTCTTCTTCATCAAACACATCCACCACAGTCAAACTAGTCCCATCCACAGCAATGAAACCTTTAGGTACAATAAATTTCAGCAACTCCTTCGTTGTCTTCACTTTGACCCACAACGAATCTCCCTCTGGATCCATCGAAACAATCTCCCCTGTGCCATCCACATGTCCCTGAACAAAATGCCCACCCATTCTGCTGGTGGGGGTCACTGCCCTTTCCAAATTGACCAGCGATCCCGCTTCCAACTCGATCAGAGAAGTTTTCCTAAGCGTCTCCGGAGCCAACCCAACCATGAAATCAGAGGCCTTCAGATCGAAGTTGGTCACTGTAAGACAGGTACCATTGACGGCGATGCTGTCCCCAAGATTTACGCCTTCGAGAACGGTTTTTGCTCCTATCTTCATGTCGAATCCGCCGTGATCGGCGACACGTAGCTGCTTGATTGTGCCCATTTCTTCAACGATGCCCGTGAATAGGCATCGAATTGTGCTTTGACGACGGGCTATGGGTTTGCTCAACGGCATGAACGCGCGCAGGATGGGCGGCTTGGTAATGTAGTTGAATCTACAATCGATGTTGGATGTCTGGGTTTTGGGATTGAGGAATCCATGCATTGGAAGAATTCTCGGAGTTTTGGATGAGAAGGTGAGAGAGCATGAAGCCGCCATTTTTTATCTGTTTCGGAGCTCCAAGGTCCAAAACCGTGGCAGCACAATCTTTTCAGCAATGTAAGGGCTAAACTCCTCCTACCCAAGCCTGATCCTGGAGTTTTGACTTTCAATGTAATGACGAGTCGATAATAACAGTCTTCTTTGGTTAACCAAGAAAAATCACAATCTTGATAAGGCTTTTCTGCTTAAAATTTTGTCTCCCTGTTGCTATTGATTTCAGGTGATCTATTGTAAAAGAAAAATGTCTACCTATCATTATTTATGGAAAATATGAGAGAACAAAAACCTAGATTCTACCAGTTCAGCGTCCGACTGCTCAGTTATTAACATAGATTCTATTCGTGTTATAGAATAATGTTCAAAAATAAAAATTTAACTTTAAAAAAGTTATTTTTTAATACCATTCACTTTTCTTTTGTAGTTTTATGTCTTTTTTTTTTTATTTTAAACTTGTGATGTAATTTTTTTAGATTGAATTGCAAGGTAAAAAGCTCACTCCTCAATTAATTCTTTATAATCTCGTTTAAGATGTCGCACTTTAGAAATTAGACTTATAATTTAAAATCAAATGCCAAAAATATTTTTCTAAAAAATTTTAAATTCTTCGCAATGACCTTTTTCTTTTTTTTTTTTTCCTTTTTTGCTTTCTAAAAAAGAAAATGCAAAACTTGCACTTCCGCCGCTACTGTTGTCAGTATAAATGATATGTAATACAAATAATAAACACCATAAAACTATTAACAAGTTTAAATATAATGCAATTCACAATTTATTGATACAACCACACGTATACAAGTTAATTGATAATAATACAAATTCAAACTTCAAAGTTCAAACACCATCACAGCCATGCTGCTTAAAAAAAAAAACCATCACAATTCATAACCATTATTATAAACTTGAATCATGAAAAAACATTAAATTTAATTATAACTAAAATACTAGAAATCTCTTAAATTTTGAGTTCGGTTCATCATCTTTAAATAGCTGCACTTTTGAGATTAGAGTACTCTGGGCTCAATTACATAAAACATGTACATTAAAATTATTCTTTATTTTTTTCAGCTTCAAGCTTTCAATGAAGTGAAAAAGTCAGAAACAAAGGCCACTCATGAAGCAAAGTGGATTTGCTATTAACTTGTAGGTGTACTTTATTTATATTGACATGTTCGTTGATTGCTTATTCAGATGGCAAAAGTCACGGCTGGAAAAAATCATAGCCCGGGGGGACGAAACAGGATTAAATAGCAACAGGTTCTAAGTTCTATGGTTTCAAATTCAGACAGATCTGTAACGGAGCAAGCTCATATAATCACCACCCAAAGAAAATACTGGGGAAGAACTGGCGAAGGACGCACCTGGACGCTGGAGCAAGAACGGTGTGAAGACTGAAACTCGACCAGGGCAGAAACGGCGTCGAGAAGCGAGGACGAGAGTTGCACTTGAGATTTCAGATCGGTGCAGCACGACGGAGGAGTGATGGAGGGAGGCGGCGACGGCACGCCGAGGGGCGAGGGTTTTATTCGGAGTTGAGACAGCGAATGCGAAGCGGAAAGCGTAGCGAGAGTGGCGGAGTGGGAGCCGCGGGCGTCTAAGGAAGAGCTTTTATCGCCGGCCGAAATAAGGGGAAAAGCTTTTTTTTTTTTTTTTGGCATTTAATATTCGCAATTATAAAGAAAACTATGGGCCGTTTTCCGTTAATTGTTTGGCACAAGTCATAAGAAGCATGACCCTGGCCACCGCAAAATTTTAAATTAAAAAATTGTATAAAGAGCATTTTTCATTCTGTAATTTTATATAAAATTTTAACTTATTTTTTAATTTTATAAAATAACTTTTCAATCTTCTAACTATAATCATATTAATTTAAAATGATAATTTTTGTGTAAATTATTATTATTTTAACTTAATATATTAATATTTGAAAATATTTTCGTTAACATTTAAAAATTTAATGCCAACATTTTTATTAATGAATCTTTCAAATTGCAATTTTCAAATTGAAAATAATAATATTAAACTTAAAAAATTGGAAAAAAATATTTTATATGATTAAGAGAATAAAATAAAACAGTGTGGAGTTAAAAAACAAAAACGAAAACGAAAGTTCACATTTGCCTTTTTTTAAAAAAAGTGAGCAATCCTAAGAAGCATGGTAGCCATGCCATGGCCAGAAAATTAATTTTCTTTAATCCATGCCTTAGCCGATCCTAAACCCAAGTGTTACTTGATAAAGAACATAAAAGACATACAATTTAATTGAATAATCATATAATACAAACAAATTATTGCATACAGAATTAAAATGAACTGCTCAATAATTTAAATATTCTCTTAATACTTACGCATTATTTAAAGATTTTGGGCATCGTGAATCGCACCGGTGGTCGTGGGAGCATGTTTTCTTCCACCCAACATGTTTTGAAAGGCTTAAATAATAAACATTATTTAATTGTTATTATTACTTACAATTGTTATGTTTAATTGGAATCTTTAATCATTAAATTCATTTTAAATAAATTTCTTGAATCTAATTATTTTTTGAAATGATTTTTTTCTTAAAATTACCTTTCAACACAATATATGGTGAGGAAAATCAAGATTTGACGGGAAAAACTTAAATTTGAAAAAAAAATTCAAATCCAAACAAATAATCTAGAAAGCTCATTTTGGAAATGAATACATTATTCATAAGTAATAATATATCAGGTTAAAGTTTTTATATAAATAAAGAAAATTAATTATTTGATCCCTTAATTTTTAATAGGTTGTAATCCAGTCTCTAAACTGTAATTCAGTGCCTTTTTTTTAGTTTTAAATCAATTGCAATTTAATTTTTAACCTTTAAATTATTGCAACTTAATTTCTATAATTCTAATTGTTAAAACATTAGTCCCTTACTTATGATTAGTAAGTTATGAATACATTATTCATAACTATTAGGACATTAACTAGACAAATGATTCGTAAGTTATGAATAATGGTTATTCATTTCCAAATTTGCAGGGTTTTTTCAACACGGGGAACAAGAAGAGCTCAGCTTAGCATCATACACAAATGTCGAGAGGAATTCAAAACCGAACAATTGATTTGATTTAATAATTTAAGTCTATACATCAATCATCACAAGACAAACCTCGGAAGCTGATCAACTTGACTCAGTACTCTCAGGTTTGGTAACAGAGTCCACTTGAGTTTCTTCTTCATCTTCTGCTTTGCCTTCAGTCTCCACATTCTCAATCTTTGATACACGAAACATAGCCAAATGGATATCCCCTGGCAAACATGAAGGAGCTTAAGCTGCTATAACCTTATGAAGTTATCAACAAAACCCAAAGGATTCTTTTTTCTTTTTAATGTTGTATATGTATGGCATGCATCTTCAGCATAATTCATCTGTTTGAGCTGTCAGACATGCAGACATATTGACTGAAAGTACGTGCAAGAGAAGGAATGAGAAAAGAACATGAAGTTTTAACATGGTTTGGTCTCTCAAAATACACATATATCTACAACCCCAAAAGGAGTTATAACGCCGCATCTTTATATAACTTAGTTCTTTAATGAAGAAATTACAAATTCCTTACACAATTTTGAACGCAAAAATCGTGAAACTCTTTTTACTAATAACAACTGACCAATTCTTTTGATTACATTCATGTATATTCCGATGTTGGGTTGTGATGCTGAAACCACTTCATCACAATTATCTAATGCTCCAACTAATCCTCCCCTTCTCTAAAGTCATGAACATTCTACTTTGTCTGAAAATAAACAATCCATTCTTTATTTCAACTTGGGACTTGAGAACAACTCCCATCAATTCACGTGAATCAAAACACATCATGTTCACGTCACGCATGAGAATAGAGATGCATCCTTTTTTGCAAAACAGATCTGATAACTCAAAAATGGAACTATGTTTGCATTCAAACATCTTACACAACACTTCTAGAATTATACCAAGACACTTGTATTTTTGTTGTGTCACGGTATTTTTAACAAAATATTCAATCTTAAAATTTTAAGATATCATGGTGAGCCAATAATAATCAAATCTTAACTTTCAAGGTTCAGACAATAGTACCCAGAGAAAAACTTTAAGCTACCATGAAAGCAAAATAATAGTCTAATTTCTTTCTATTCTATACTAAACTCTGTCTCACGCCATTCACTATATATAAGCTCACACGTCAGACCCATGTTGGGTTGTGTGATTTGTATGGTTGTGTTTAACCACCTGTAGTTGATTGATTGTGATGGAGAGATAATTATTTACAAAAGGGGATCTAAGGAAAATAGAGGCAAACGTTATTAAATTTTCGATTTAACTGAAGATATATGTTTGAGAGGATACCAAATGTAATGCAGCTTCCAGAAGACACAGTAGCAACCACTCCGGGTCTCAGCTTCTTGTCATCAACGAATGTTCCATTGGTGCTATCCAAATCTGTGACCAGAAGATCCCCTCCTTTCTTCTGAATGCGTGCATGCACACCAGAAACTGAAAGTTTAAAGATCAATTTAACAATAATGCAATCTGCTCTTGTTGATTAAGGATTTACACAAGAACCCCAAAAAAAAAAAAATCCTTGTGCTCTCTGAAAGTGGGCATAAACCGATTTTGATTAAAAATTTAAAATAGAAGGATTAATTCAGCTAAAATATTTGCAGGCATGTAAGCTCCATTTCTATGTCCCTATGTCTCTCCCACAGAATTTTTTCATAGACATTCTCAGCAAGAGAAAAGTATCTAGTGTGTAACCTTATGCAATATGCTCAAAAAACTTAAACTTTATTTTGGAACATTTTTAAAGTGAAACTCAATTTTTTATTATTGTTTAATAGAGAAAAAAATTCCGCTCTAGTTTTCAAATCCCAACAAAGTCAGTGATATTTGACTAACAAAGATTCATTTGGAGACAAAAAGACAGTTTTACCCTTTTATTATTTCATTAGGAGGGCATTAGAAGTGAATACTACAGCAACAACAAGTCTTATCCCACTAGGTGAGGTAGGCTACATGAATTGTACGGCGCCATTGTACTTTATCATTCACCAAGCTTTTAAAAATATTGTTAAACAAAAGGTTTTGATCAACAACTTCCATGAGTATTCTCTTTGGCCTTTCTCTTCCCTTCTTAACAAGGCTAAAAATTATCCGTTTCACTCTCCTCACTAATATCTCTCGCAGTCTTCTTTATATATATCCAAACAATTTCAAATGATTTTCTACCATTTTTCCCTCAATATGCGCTACGCCCAATTTTTCTCATATATGCTCATTTTGGCTTTTATCTTTACGTGTATGCACACACACCATCTCAACATTTTCAACTCTACTACTACAACTTTATATTCTTGCTATCCCATTAAAGCCTAACATTAACTACCATATAATATAATTAGTCTTATAGCAGTTTGATGAAACTTTCTTTTAAGTTTATTAGGTACCTTACAATTGCAAATAACCCCTTTAGCCTTCTACAATTAAACCACTCAACTTGTGTTCTATGTGCAACACCCCCATCAATATCCCCATCATGTTGAATAATAGCTCCCAAATATATAAACTTTTCAACTTGAGATATAATTTGATCTCCCAATTTCACTTCTAAATTACTACTGATTGATCTCTTATCAAAATTATATGCAAATATTAAGTCTTACTCCTATTCAGGTGAAAACCTTTTGACTCCAATATCCTCCTCCATAACTCAAGTTTACAGTTAATCTCTTCTTTTGTCTCCGCAATAAGGACTATATCATCCCAAAAAGCATGCATTTAGGGATTTTTTCTAGAATATGCTTAGTCAAAACATCTAGGATTAGATCAAACAAATAAGAACTCGAAGATGATCCCTGATGTAGTCCAATCCTTATAGGTAAAGCCCTTTGTTTTACCGCCAAATGTTCTTATACCAGTTATTGCCCCTCTTACATGTCTTGCCCCCTCATATAGTGCATTACTTACGAGCGATAACCTAGCATTAGCACAAAAACATCTATTGTCCATAGCCATGTGAGATTCAATAAAATTTTACACTGGCTGTTGAAGGCCTAACATAACCCTCCTCCTTTACCTGAGCTTGGGACCAATTATAATCATAGGCAGAGTTGTGGCATTAGAATACTTTCGTAAAATTAAAATTGAATTTCACTTCAAAAATCAATGAAATTCAATGGAATTATACAACGTTAAAGATTTATTTTGAATAGACAAACTAGTGATTGTTCAATTGAATTCTTGATCAATTTGATTCCAAATGCACCCATAGAATTAATAATCAGGATTAGGAATACCTGTTGCAACTGGAATTACCAAATCAGCTTTCTCTGGAACACGTCCAACAGTCACATCACTCTAGAAAATATCCAGAACAAGACAGTTAATCCACAGCATACTGAAGCAGACAAGAATTTTACTGGATATATCATTACTTACAGAAGCAATTTCATATGCACCTGGCATCTCAACCTTGAAGCCTATGTGCCTTGAATCACCATCTCCTATCACATGCCAAACATGTTCAAGATTATATTTGCAATGCTGATACAACACCATGTGAATCTCTAAACTCGAAAGAAAATGTTGACATAAGTCCTAGACACAATATATTTACTGTGCAGCATCAAATCATGTTTTGGTTTGACATCCAAGCAAGTAGATGGTTAAATTTTGGATGGAGTCATGGAGAGACATCACAACAACAACAACAACAATAACAACAAGCCTTATCCCTCTAGGTGGGGCATACATCATCAACAACAACAACAACAAGCCTTTATCCCACTAGGTGGAGTCGGCTACATGGATTGCAAGACGCCATTGTGCTCTATCATTTATCAAGCTTTTATGAATATTATTAATTAAGAGATCGCATTCAACAACTTCCAAGAGTGTTCTCTTAAGCCTTCCTCTACTTCTCTTAATCGGACTCAAAGTTATATGTTCCACTCTTCTCATTGGTGCCTCCCTTGGTCTTCTTTGTACATATCCAAACCATCTCAACCGATTTTCTACCATTTTTTCCTCAATAAGTGCCACCCTCACTTTTTCGCGTACATGCTCATTTCGAATTTTATCTTTACGTGTATGTCCGCACATCCATCATAACATTCTCATCTCTACTACTCCAACTTTATGTTCTTACTGTCCCGTTAGAGCCCAGCATTCACTACTATATAACTTTTAATTTCATTTTCTTAAGGTGGGGCATACATCACAACAACAAAATTGAATCATTTTTGAAAATACAACAACATTTCCTACTTTTAAACTAAATGATCATGTTAAAACTTGGGACCCTTGAAGTTAAATCCTGTAAGAGAATAACATCTAAGGATTGGTTTAAAACACAAGCCTTTTTAATACACTAAAACTGTGCACTTTTGATTGAGGAACTCTATCTAGAGCACAGATGTAATTGAAGAAGGTAAAGAAAGACCTGAAAAGTTGTAGTCTCTATGAGTACAAAATATTATGTATAAGATCAACAGAAAGAGGATAATGCATTCATCGACAACCATCCAGGAAATTCCTAATGTAATTATCAAGTCACTTCTTTTGCGCACCTACTACATGATACGATTACTCATTAACCACCACAGATTTAAAGTTTGTATTCAAAACAGAAGCACGGGCAATGCCAAGAAAGCATTAGACACTACAAATAAAACCCAACTCATTAAATCATACGACAGGTATTTTTTGCAAATGGCTATCAGCAGTAACAGGAAACTCTCATGAAACTCATAGAAAATACTAATATAGGATAAGATATCACTAAGCTCAAATACTTTCATTGACAATCCCCTATTTACTGATGGATTAACGCTAAATTGCCTCTGTTATCAAATTACTAACTCCTAAATCCCAAATGATTACCAGCAAGCAAGATATTAAATAATATTTTCCTCTTTTCATAATGCATTATTCTTCACCAATTGAAAAAATTTACTTCCCCTCAAGTTTTAAAGTGAAAACGCCAGGATAGCAGAAGTGTATATTTCTGAGTTGCAAAGGGAAGGAAAGAGAAGGAATGCAAGGAAAACATGAGAGGAGGGAGGGGAACCATGGCTAAATGATAATTTCCATACCCTTAGTGCTGGAAAACTTTAAGCTCCGAATTCCCCTTTTTTTTGGGGAGTATGGATGATTTGGAAGGGTTAGCTCAAATTTTCCATTCTCTTGTCTATAAACTCTCAAACATACTCTGAAGAAATTAGGAGATGCTCATCACTGTTCTGTTGGTGTCTACTTCATTCCACATCGGATAAGGATTGAGATATCTTGAAACATACAAGTCCAGATACCAGGAGGAATATTTTGTACCTCCCTCATCCCAACAAGGGGAAAAATTAGAAAGAAATAGAAATAAGTCTCCCACTGCTAATGATGTCACTTTCCCATCAACATAGCATTTCAATTTTCGGAAGCTTCCAGTCCCAGAAGCCGAATAGACATATGGATCAGGATTAATTACATAGAACGCAAGAACACCCAAAACAAAGATTTATCAAGGTTTTTCCTTCTACAGATGACTAAATTGAGTAAGAGATACAACTGACCAACAGGAACAAGAAGCCATCTTTCTGCAGCTTCGGTAGGAGGGGTTTCAGCTTGTGAAGCATATAAAGCCCCGAGGCTACTCTTGTCCTTTGCTCTGGAAGGACAAACTGAGAGAAATCCCTTTGGAAAATTACGAGTTGCAGAAGTACAAGCTACTGAAGAGGCATTGCAATGGAAGAAGATTGCGGATGAAGAGGCAGAGGAGGAGGAGTGATGAGCTTTAGGAATAGTAACTAGAGGAAGAGATTGAAGTATGGTTTCCATAAGAGCAAGAACTTGCCGTCTCCGAGAAAACAATAGGACCTACTGGTTGTGTATGGTATGGTTCAGGTCATCATCATCTTGAGGTTGATTTGGCTAGTGAGTGAAGTGCTTCTTCCCACCCTCTATTCTTGGGCGAAGGTACCATCACTAAATGTACTACAACATATCATTGCCTGAACTAATATCCTCATTCCGGTCTTAATTACATAGCAAGATTACTCTGACTTATTCCATTTAAATATACATAAAACTGGCAAAAATACATTACTTTTAATTTTTTTTTCTTTCATTGAAATTAATGTTAGTAACAAAATGTGCTTAAAAATTAAAAAGCTTACAAATAACTTCATGCGATTAAAGAAGGGCAATGTTAGAAAAATAAATTAACTACTATATTTTTACTGGGTTTTAAAGTTTTTTTTTTCTATAATTAGGACGGAAGGGAGTACAATATAAAATAAAGTTTATAAGTTATATTATTTATGTATAATATCACACAAATATTACACAGTCATCAAAGCCATATAAACGAAAAAAATCTTCCCTAATTTAGTAACTTCATCTAAACCTCAAGATTGTGCCCGCGGCATAAACAAATATCTTTGCATTAATGCTCTGTCATAATCATAACATCTCTAAAAAATATTTTGAACCGGAAAAAAAGCGTTTGATATCATTCTTTTGTTTAAGTATGTTTCTAATAGGTATTATAATTCATATTAATCGGATTTGATCGTCATAAATGCGATCCATAATCTAACTTTTTAAATTATGATTTAACTTTGGTAATACTTTCATGTAATAGAAATATAAAATACCGCTCACACAAAAAAAAACAGAAATATAAAATAATATATAAATAGAAAATAGAATATGTAGTCCGGATGATAAAAAATGACGAAGTTTGATGTTCGGTGTGCCTTTATAGGACAGGATTTTGGAGTATGTGGCAACCATTTAATGCCTTGACGAGGAGCCGGATAACTGATAACAAGCATATCACCAAGTGGAATATGGTTGGATTCTTTTTTTGCCATAAAACAGACTAGTCACGGGCTTCACAGTTTGAGTTCCATTATTCATTTTATAGTTTTTTCCTTGCCTATCGTACCAAAAATAGCAATGGCTAAAAAATTTTTGGGCCTGAAAAAATACAGGCTAGAATGCAAAGCTCAGAATTCCTAAAAGCTAAAGAATCGGACTGCAGTGTGCTTGTGGAACTCATAAAGAATGAAACTAATGCCAGGTCATCACGCAGCCTAGTCTTACTTCCGATTCTTGACATGCTGCATTGGAATTGAAGCATAAATGTACAGCATGTGGCTCGCGAGCAGAACCAAGTTGCAGAGTTATTGGCCAGAGAAGGACTTGCTGCTCCTTTTTATGATATAGCTCCTTCCTTTTTGACAAACTAGGTTAACTCAATCCCCCCTAGTGTAATCTCTCTATTTTTGGGACACTTTTACTTTGGCCATCTCTTGTACCCAAAAAAAACCTGCCCTTTCACAAGTTAATTAGCTCCAAATCTTCCTGTTTTCACCATCAGACAGTTCATTTAACTGCCAAGAATTGTACCAGCTTAACCAAAAATCTTAAGTTCAAGCTCTGAAAATGCAGTTGCATTGTAGGTAGAGCTTCCACTCGAAAAAATTCCGACCCAGCTCAATCCTGATTAGTCTGAACTCTGTTAAAAGTCCCCTAATCTGAAGGTGGGATAGACTCAGGATATCAACACATAGAAGTGAATCCTATCCAAGAAAACTCGCAACCAAGATGTCTCCACCTTTGAATCAGCACAAGCTCAAACTCCTCACTCTTCAAAACTACTGTCCAGTGTCTACTTTCTAACCAAAATTCTAGTCAGTAAGCCTCAGTTAACCCTTGGTAACTGGAAAAGAGACATGAGAAAAAAGAATGAAGGCGGTTAAAAAAAAATATTTTTACTGTGCATGATAGGTGGCCAAACGACTTAATTGAAATGATAAACTCCCATGTTCATGAGAAAGTTTTCCTATTTCCATTCTCAATTTGTATTGAACAAGCCACTAAGTGTAAATCTGATTCCAGATTTTCCGACACCTAGAATGTTACACATAAATAATGTCAAAATCGAATGGTTGGGGATTCCCCCCCCCAAAAAAAAAAAAAAGACCATGAAAATAAGCAAGTAATGTCTGTAAATATTGAAACTAAAAGTTTTATTTGCTCCGAATTTTTATTTGAAGACTCCAATTAATGGTCCCCTCTGGTAGGGGAATGGACCTTGGCAAGAGCAGTGGCACTTCATATTCACCCACCTTTGATAAAGGCGTTGGAAGATGCAGGTTCTCTGGTGCAATGTTCACACAAAGCTGCCTAGCCACCTGGAAGTGCCATAAAGACCAGATCAGTTCAAGGAAAAAATCAATAGCTTCTTTCTTCTGTGAATTGATTACATTTAGGGCTTAAACAGAATTTCTTCTGTGAACTGATAACATTTAGGGCTTAAACAGAATGAGCAAAAAATAATTATTATTATTATTATAAAATAAAATCAAACTCAAAGCTAAAGCCTAACAACCGATTACTTATACACCAAATTTCACAACCTACAATCATAAAGCTTAAGAATAGGAGGCATAAGAGGGATTACATGTGAGATGTCACTGATTTCTTCAAACAGCTGTACATTGTAAAAGTACCAAACAAATCAAGCATATGGGATTAGTCTAACTTCCTTCCAATTGGGGGTCTCCCCATGGCATAAGAGGGAGAGAGCAGGAAGTTGAAAATATCTGCTCATAGAAATTTGAAATTTGAATGGCAGTTCCAGGTAAGAATTATTTATGAAATAGGTCATTTCATATTTTTTTATTGTCACATCAAGGTGCTTTCTTTCTTTTAATTCATTTTCCTTTTCTTATTTCTTGGTTTCTCCTTAAGGCCTTGTTTGGTATAATGGAATGAGGGGTGATGGAATGAGAATGTGAGAAGAAATGGCCCATTACCTCAGTTGAGGTAATCTTCATTCCATCACCATACCATGGGAATGGGATCCATTCCTCAGGAATGAAATTTTATGAACAAAAATATCTCTGGTTAATAATTGTATATACACAACTATCCCTCTTATTTTTGCCCTAATTTCACAAGTCACTCCGTCCAGCTCTTAGAACAAAATTTATCATTCTATCGAAAAATACGTGATAAGGAGGTAAAGGAAGCTCTTAAGAAAATGGCAAATGGTAGAGCCAACGGACCTGATTGTATATCTATCGAAGCGTGGAAATGTTTAGGTGAAGAAGGGGTGAGATGGTTAACTAAGTTATTTAATGTGATTTTACGGTCCAAGAAAATGCCTGATGAGTGGAGGAGAAGTACATTAATTCCTATTTATAAAAATAAAGGAGATATTCAGAATTGTACTAACTATAGAGGGATTAAACTCATGAGCCACACAATGAAATTGTGGGAGAAAGTAATTGAGCACAGGTTGAGATTGGAGACAAGTATTTCTGAGAATCAATTTGGTTTTATGCCAGGTAGATCAACTACAGAGGCGATTTATCTACTAAGGGGATTAATGAAAAAGTATCGTTGTAAAGATAAAGATCTACACATGGTTTTTTATTGATTTGGAAAAAGCTTATGACCGTATACCAAAAGAAGTGCTTTGGAAAGCATTGGAAAAAAAGGGAGTACGGATTGCTTATATTAAAGCCATACAAGATATGTATGAGGGGGTAAAAACTAGTATAAGAACGCCTAGTGGTCAAACAAAAGATTTTCCTATAAAGATTGGACTACATCAGGGATCATCTCTGAGTCCTTATTTGTTTAACTTGATTTTAAATGTTTTGACGGAACATATTCAAGAGGAAATCCCGAAATGTATGCTCTTCGCGGATGATATAGTTCTTATAGCAGAGACAAGAGAAGAGGTTAATTGCAAACTTGAGTTATGGAGGAGGACATTGGAGTCGAAAGGTTTTCGTCTGAGTAGAAGTAAGACGGAATATTTATATTGTAAATTTGGTAAAGGACTATTCGAAAATAATTTGGAAGTGAAATGGGAGATCAAATTATACCTCAAGTGGAAAAGTTTAGATATTTGGGAGCCATTATTCAAAATGATGGCGAAATCAGTGGAGATATTTCACATAGAATTCAAGCTGGGTGGTTTAATTGGAAAAAAGCTAAAGGAGTTATTTGTGACCGTAAGGTGCCTAATAAACTTAAAGGAAAGTTTTATCGTACTGCTATCAGACCGGCAATGTTATATAGTAGTGAATGCTGGGCTCTAACGGGACAGCAAGAGCATAAGGTTGGAGTAGCAGAGATGAGAATGTTACGATGGATGTGCGGACATACACGTAAAGATAAAATTCGAAATGAGAACATACGCGAAAAAGTGAGGGTGGCACCTATTGAGGAAAAAATGGTAGAAAATCGGTTGAGATGGTTTGGGCATGTACAAAGAAGACCAAGGGAGGCACCAGTGAGAAGAGTGGAACATATAACTTTGAGTCCGATTAAGAGAGGTAGAGGAAGGCCTAAGAGAACACTCTTGGAAGTTGTTGAACGTGATCTCTTAATTAATAATATTTCTAAAAGCTTAATAAATGATAGAGCACAATGGCGTCTTGCAATCCATGTAGCCGACCCCACCTAGTGGGATAAAGGCTTGTTGTTGTTGTTGTTGTTGTTGTTACTCCGTCCAGCTCTTGCCCCTCCCTTCAGCACCTTCTCCGTCACCAGCCTTCTTCATGGCTGTCCAACCTTCTTCTCCATCGATTCTTGCCGTCTGGCCTTCTTCCCGGCAACCCTTGCCATCCTACTCCTCCTCATCTTTAACCTCCTGGGCACAGTCATTCGAATATTGCAAGTTGCTGCCCAGTGACGGTCACTGCCTCTTCTTCCTTCTTTCCGATGTCACAAGTCTCCACCTTTGTCACTGTTTGCATATTCATCATCGTTCACAAGTTTTTGTCACAATCCTTCTTCATTGACCTTCCTTCATCACCATTTTCATATCTACTTCATTACAAGGTTTCCCCCCTTTCTAATCTTGCATATATTGATCTAATGATTCAGGTATTATGTGTTTAGATTTGAATATCTTGATGGATTTGATTTCCAGAAGTGAGAATATCTGGATTTTGATATGTAATCGTG